TAAACCTTAGCAAAAGCATATCTTTGTTTTTCCATTTAGAAATCTTTAAACGAATGGCTGCAGTGATATTGCAAATCATTTTAACCGGAGTGATTCTTAGATTTGAGAATCTACGGCTATTTCTCTCGCGCCATATGTGATACACAATACAGCTCACCGTTAAGCAACAAAAATCCTTCTCAGTTCTAGAATAAAAATCATCCTGAGCAATAAATTCAAAAGCCTGAATTAAGTTAGGTCTCAGCAGAAAAACATTAAAATCGGGTAGGATGTACTTGAGAATGTTAAAAGAGAAGTCACACTCAAAAAACAAGTGAGCATGGCTCTCAGCCGAACTGGAGCAGAGGAAGCATTGTGGATCAACGTGAATTCCTCTATAAATTAAGTTGTCCGCTGTTTTAAGTTTTCCAATCAATGCCATCCAGGCAAAGCAGGCATATCTAAGCGAGTGCTTCTTATGCCAAACAGACCCAAACCAATCCACCTGAGTGAGATGAGAATGAAAGTGTTCAATGAAATCCTTAAATTTCCAGTTGGTAGAACCATTCCAAAGTATAGCAGACACCTCATTCAAGTTCAAACCCGCAATAGAAGCAGTAAGATTAGAGGGAGTATTAGGGGGAAAGTTCCAGGTGTCATTAGCAATAAAATCTTTCACAAGTTTCTCCTCTAAGTTTGGAATCACAAATTGTTCAGCAAGAATCATGTCTTTAAACCAAGGGTCCCAAAGAAAAGAAAAGTTGCAATCATTAGACACAGTGAAGGTGATATAACCCCTGATTTTGGCAGCAGTAGCATTAATTTTCTTCCAAAATTTGGAAGCAGTGACCGGAGGATTCTTCCAAGGAGAAATAAATTTAGATTTATACCAGCTACATAAAAAGTTTTGAGCATTATAAAATCTGCCTATGAAAGAGCAAAAAACCCCATGATATAAAGCTTCAATAGATGGAATGCCAAGCCCGCCATAGTGCTTAGGCAAAGTAACTTTAGCCCAAGCAATAAGGTGCAATTTCTTCTCATGAATATTACTGTGAAACAAAAACCTTGAGCAAATCTTATTGATATAGGCACAACAAGACTTGGGTATAATCGCACCTCTAATCCAGTAAACAATTGTATTTGTCATGGTGAACTTAATAAATTGCACTCTACCTGCAAAGGAAAGAAACTTGTTTTTCCAACCATCAAGTAGAGTAGAAATTTTGCTCAGTAGTGGTTGGAAGTGAGTATTTTTAAGTCTTTTATAGGAAATGGGGAGTCCCAAATAAGTAAGGGAGGTGTTGACTTGGTGAATACCAAGAGTCTCAGAAATGAATTGGGACAAAATATCATTGTGAGAGAATACAATTGAACTTTTGGCTTCATTAATAAAGAGTCCAGAATAAGAGCTAAATTCCATCAGACAAGATTTAAGAGCCTCAGCATTATCTTTGGTAGACTCCTCAAACACCAGTAAGTCATCAGCATACATAAGGTGATTGATGTGGACGTCTTTATAAGCAATCCCTTTAAAAATAGTGTTTCTGTTCAAAATGTTCGAAAGCCCGTCCATCACAACACAGAATAATAAAGGAGATAGAGGACATCCTTGACGGAGCCCAGAAGTAGAGTTAAAGAACCCCTCAAGAGATCCATTCAGACAAATAGAGAAGTAAACATCAGATATACAGACTTTTATCCATGAAACAAAGATGTGAGGAAAACCTTTCTGTAACATCCTAGCAAGCAGGAATTCCCTCGAGACAGAATCAAAAGCTTTTCTGATATCAAGTTTAGCACAAAACCGCTTATGAGAACTTTTGAAATCCCTAAGAATTTCAGAAGCAAGAATGATGTTATCAGTGGAGCATCTGTTAGCAATAAAGCCTGATTGACTATCATGAATGATGAAGGGGAGCACCTTTTTAAGTCTCTCCGCAATGATTTTAGCCACAATCTTATAGAAGACATTGCAAAGTGAGATAGGCCTATAGTCATTGATGCTAGAAGCATGAGAACATTTCGGTATAAGAGTTATAGCACAAGCCTTAACACCTCTAGGAAGAGAAGCAGTAGTGAAAAAGTGATTAATGGCGTTAAAAAGCTGAGGACCAAGAATATGCCAAGTATTCCTATAAAAAGCATAAGAATAACCATCCGGGCCTGGGGAAGAAGACACTTTCCCATCAAAAACTGCAGTTTTAACCTCCTCAAAGGTTAAAGGGGCCACCAACATACTATGCATATGCGTTGGAACAACATTTCCAGCAGGTATATCTAAAGGCAAATCAAAAGTTGGTGCCGAGATGTTGTACAAATCCTTAAAATGAGTAATAAGAGCTTTAGAGATATCTATAAATGAGGTGAAGATCCCATCATTCGTAGTAATCTCATTAATGCAATTTCTATTGTGTCAACTTCTGATTTTGGCATACAAAAAACCCAAGTCCTCTTCACCATGCGTGAGCCAACGAGCCTTAGCTCTTTGAGCAATCCAGGACGACCAATTCCTTTGAGCATCAGCAAGGTCATCATTGACAACTTTTAAAGAGTTGTTAAGATCCAAATCTAGAGGGTTAGATTGAATCTCAAGTAAGCACGAGAGTTGTTTGTTTTTAAGCTCTTGGATAGCAGTGGATAGAAAAGAGGAAGAAGCCCAATTCCGATTTCTAAGAGCCCCTTTGAGAGTGTGCAAGCTGTGGTAAAAAGATGCCAAGGGACTTCTAGGAGATCTAGAAGAAAAAGCCTTGAACACCTCATCCCAAAAACCTTCCATATTGATCCAATAGTTCTTGAACATAAACCTAGCAGATATAGGCTTATCCGTAGAAGATTTAAAAACTAAAGGAGAGTGGTCTGATCCCAGGGGAGGTTCAACTTTATAGTACGCAGAGGGTAAATAATCCAGAAATGCTGAGTTAACCAAAACTCTATCAAGCTTGATGTGGATAGGAGTATCCACCCTTTGATTGTACCAAGTGTAGAAAAGTCCAGTGGAAGAAAGATCATGAACCCCACAATTAAAAACAAGGTTATTCAGCTCCCCCAAACGGCTAGTGGAAAAAGAAGTTCCCCCAGCTTTTTCATTATCAAATCTGCAACAATTGAAGTCACCAAGAATTACCCAAGGCTGATCCCGAGGAGGGATAGCATCAGATAATTGATTCCATAAGCTTTTCCGTTCTTCAATATTATTAGAGGCATAAACAACTGAAATATACATGGGAGGGAAAGATCCCATAGAGATGATCCCATGAATAAGTTGAGATGAAGAAGAAATTTGAGAAAAAGAGACAGTCTTCGAGTCCCATTTCAACCAAATCCTTCCAGGACTTGAATCCAAAAAATTATTGCAGCTAACTTCATTCTCAAAGAGGACATGAGAATTAATGAACCATGAGTCTTGCAGAGAAGAAGCAGAAATTTTGGCTTCTAAAATACAAAGAAGTTTAAGATCATGCGATGTGATCAAGGATTTACAGAGACGAACTTTGTCTGGGCTATTAAACCCACGAACATTCCAACTAGCAAAAGAAGGCAAGGACATTAAGACGATGATCCTTTGGCCTTCTTGGCCGATTTCCCTTTCGGAGGCTTTGACTTATTGGGGCTTTTTCCAACTTGAACCGAAGATCTAGTTTGTGGCTGCTTGGATCCCTGATTTCTCAAATCAGGCGGATCTTCCACAAGTTTTGAGAGCACAATTTCGTTCTCTGAACTTGAGTCAACAGTATTGGAGGTGCTGCAATCTTCCGATTGCAAAGTGGCAAATTTGTTAAGCAAAGGGATGACTGGATTTTGTAAGGTTTTAGGGATTATCAGATTCTCAGATGAAGAGATATCTTCAGTGGGAATATTAAGGTTCGGGATAGGGGGATTTTTTGAAGGTGATAAAACCGTCGCTAGCTGGTTCGAAGCCGTTTTATCAGGAGAAGAAGAATGTCGGTGAGTAAGAAGAGGTGGATTTTGCCGAGAATCAGCCAGTGGAGGTTTAGGGGAAGGCACTTTGGATTTAGAATGATGAGGACGTGAGGAACGTGCTCGAGAGGAACTACGACCTCTGGCTTTCTGTGGTTTGGGCAGGAGCATAGGCTGTGGATTTGGATTCTTGGGACACAAAGAAAAAGGGTGAATTAACGAACCACACCCTTCACATTTATCCGGCTTCCAATCGTATAAAACTTTCAAAGTCATATCTTCACCATCTATTTCTAAAGGAATTTCATCAGGAAGAGCAGATTCTTTAGAAATAAGAACACATACCCTGGCAAATGTAAGTCTAGTTCTGCTAGCCGTGAGAGAGTCAACAGAGATAGGAATACCGATGTAACTGGCGATTCTGGAGACACCAATCGGAGTCCAAAGCGCTAGCGGAAAATCCACTATTTTGATCCAAATAGGAATGGGCGTAGCTTCATCGCGCTTGGGCTTAAACTTCGGCGACCATCTCTGTAGGATGAAAGGCTTGCCCAGGATGAACCACGGACCGCCAGATAAAACAGATTCAAGGTCTTCAGGAGATGTGAACTTCAAGAGGAAAAAACCGTCCGCCAAAGACAGAAGAGTCATGGAACCCTTGAGAGGCCAAAGCTTTTGCATGGCTTTGAGCAACCTCTCGTAATAAGGTCGGGGGCCTAGCGAGTAGCCGATCAGGGCAGAGTTCCATATTTCTTTGCCCTCAACAAGATCTCCAGAGTTGAAGGAAAGTTTCTGACCTGGGGAATGAAAAGAGACCGGAAAAGGGGCCGTCACGTCGACAGGGGCCGAGACATTAGCAGCATACGAAAGACCTGTTGGAGTTCCTAGCATAGAGGAGCCAGGAAGGGGAGGAAAACCCGATTTGGAGGAAGCCATGGAGGGGAGGGAAGAAACCCTCCCAGGTGGGAAGTGGCGCAAGACGGCGAGAGCAAAACAGCGGCTGAGGAGCTCAAACCCTAGCAGAGCTCAAAAAACCTCTAACTGATTTCTAAGATAATCGTAACTTACTCACCTATTTTTTAGAAGAGTACATTCTCACGTAATTTTTTTCCTTGATTAGGTACACCGTACACCGACCGAATTTGCATAGTAACGTCTTCGGAGCATCTTCTGGATCGGCTGGAACTCGTCTAAGCCTACTACAGAGGACCAGGAGCCATGGAATTCACCGCCGCCGCAGTAGCCACCGACGATGAAGTTGAGTTCGAGTTTCCCCCACTCTTCCGGACATACCGCAGCGGCCGCGTCGAGCGCTTCGGTGGCACGGACAAGGTCTCTCCATCACTGGACCCGGCAACCGGCGTTGATTCCAAGGACGTCATAATCGATCCCTCGACCGGGGTATTCGCCCGCCTTTACCTCCCACCCGCCACCGCTCCCGGCGGAAAGCTCCCCATCCTCTTTTATATTCATGGCGGCGGCTTCTGCATCGAGTCCTGCGCCTCGCCCCTGTACCACCGCCACCACAACGCCCTCTCTTCCCTAACTCCGCTCCTTTCTGTCTCCATTGACTACCGCCTCGCTCCCGAACACCGTCTCCCCGCCGCTTACGACGACTCATTCACCGCCCTTCGCTGGGTCTTTTCCCAAACTGATCCGTGGCTAGCTCAGCACGGCGATTTCAGCCGGGTCTTCGTGGCTGGCGACAGCGCCGGAGCAAACATTGCCCACCATGTCGCGCTTCGGGCAGCGGCGGAGGGGTTGGCCATCAAGGGACTAGCTTTGATCCACCCCTTCTTCTGGGGATCCGTTCCGGTGGGCTCGGAACCCACTGAGCCTGATTTCCGGGCACCCCATGACCGCTTCTGGAAGTATATTTTCCCGGAGACGGAAGGGATGGATGACCATAGGAGGAACCCGGTCGCCGACGGTGCGCCAAGCCTTGCAGATCTGAAGTGTGAGCAAGTTCTAGTCACAGTCGCCGAGAAGGATGTTTTGAGGGACAGGGGAACTCTTTACTACAAGAAACTTAATGAGAGCGGGTGGAATGGCGAGGCCGAGCTGTTCGAGTCCCAGGAGGTTAGCCATGTTTTCCACCTCTTTCATCCAGAGACCGAGCTGGGAAAGGCCAAGATTAATATGTTGGTTGATTTCTTCCGAAAGTAGTAGCTCTGATTTTCTACTCCCAGTGCCTTGAAATAAGCTTAATTAGTCCTTCAAATGGATATGATATTGGTATTTCTTACGCTAAGACTACATCAATAAGCATTTTGGCTTGCAATCTGCTATGTGATTTGACTTATAAGTTCTGCTTATTTGCTATATATTTAAGTTGCTCTGTTACCTTTCAGCTTTTCCTCAATACATTGCATAGCACAAATAGAGTTCAATTATATATTAATGTTGCTCTGATTACACTAACAAATCAAAGAAAACACGTACACTGAAGAAACACTTAATGGATATACATAGTATATTGATGCTGCTCTGTATAGAGATCTATTTCTTGTTAAGAAACGTGACCAAGCGCTCCATGAACTCCACCGCCTTCTCACCGCCGGGATTGAGCAAGAAGAAGACGTGGTCCTCCCCTTCGGCCTCCAAGAATTCGGCTTCTCCTTCCCACCCACTCTTTTTCAGCTTTTCAAAGTAAAGCCTCCCTCTTTCCCTCAGTAGATCCCTCCCGGCAACACTCACCATCACCCTGCGACATCCGAGCGCCGCCAGGCTCCGCCCGCCGTCCGCCGTCGGATTCACCCTTGGATCGTCGAGTCCACTTGTCCCCGGACACACGAATGGCCAGAGAGCATCAGCATCCTTGCTCTTAAGCATCACCCCCTCCTTCTCCTCCCTCTCTGATCCGATCCTCTCCTTCCCCCAGAAATAGGGATGCATCAGAACCAAACCCTCAACAGGTGAGTTGTTCTGCCCTAATCTAACCGCCATATTATGGGCTATGTTTGCCCCAGTGCTGTCACCGGCGAGGAAGATCTTGCCGAGATCAGCTGCTTCCGTCAGCCACGGCTCCGAGTTGCCTGATGCGCCGCTTATCCATTTGAGCGCCTCCCAAGAATCATCATAGGCGGCGGGGAGAGGATTCTCCGGGGCGAGTCTGAAGTCGACGGATACGGCGATGACTTGAGCCCTGGAGACGAGTGAGTTGAGGTAGGAATGGTAGATGGAGGAGAAGGCGCTGCCGATGCAGAAGCCGCCGCCGTGGAAGAACACGAAGACCGGGAACTTCCGGCGGTTATCAGCGGCCGTGGAAAGAGTGGGGAGGTAGAGACGGACGGAGAGGAGTGTGAAGGGATTGATGTTGAGGTCCTTGGAGAGGACGGCGGTGGGGGGGTCGAGTGAGGCGGGGACGAAATCGGTGGGCTGTAGACGCTCAACGCGGCCGCTACGGTAGGTGCGGATGGTGGGGAGGATCTCGACAACGATCTCATCGTCAGCGTTGGTGTCCATTACCGACTTTGGAGGAATGGAGGTGTAAGAACTAAGAAGCGAACGATGAGGAGGAATACTGCCTCATTTGGATTTGCTGGCGGCGTGTTCGTTGAAGTGTAAAGTGTAAACTGTGTTAGCGGTGGGGTCCATGTACGAGTACGGCTGATAATTGCATTCTTTTTTTTGGGGACATTTAGGCCATTTAAGGCAAACTCACACACACAATGCATACACATAGACTCAGAACCCTGGATCTCTTAGTTGGAAGCATAAGCTCTCAACCAATAGGCCAAGGAGAGTTGTGTAACTGATAATTGCATTCATGTGACGCTGTTGGAAGAGGTGAACATCCTGTCGTATCATACAGCAGAGGGGCAAATTTTTAAAAGGATCAGATTTAAAAAAATAATTAATAGAAGGAGCATAATATAATTTTAATTTAAAAATGAGCAAAAAACGTACTGTAAAATTATGTTTTTGTTAGAAAACGTAAAAAACACAACTCTCCCTGACCTATTGGTTGAGAGCTTAGGGCATCTCCAACCGAACGGCAAACAAGTGTTTGCGGTTCTTGCTTTGCTCCAACCGATCGCCATTTTTGACGCCATTTGATCGCGGATGAACAGTGCGACGCCGATATTTGCGTTGCACTGTTCATCTGCGCCATTTTTTTCTCTCTACCGAACAGGTAGGGAAGAAAGGCGCGAAAGAAAACGACTGTTTTAGCGTCAAAATGGCGTTGGATTCGAGATGAAAAACGGCATTTTTTGATTTCCCTACATTTTGGAGTGAAAAATGACATTTTCGGTTGGAGATGGTCTTAGGCTTCCAACTAAGAGGTTCAGGGTTCGAGTCTATGTGTATACGTCGTGTGTGTGAGTTTGCCTTAAATGGCCTAAATGTCCCAAAAAAAAAACGCAAAAAAAAATTGTGTTTTAACAGAAAACGTGAGCCGTAATTGCGTTTTCTATTAAAACTCAATTTTTTAATATTTTAAATTCCATCTAAAATTTTTAAGCTCTTTTTTTTTTTAGATTTTAAGATCATGGAAAGATAGAGAGGCAGAGAAAAGGTAGAGAGAGATGGATGAAGAAGGAGAGAGAGAGGCACAAATGAAGAGAGAGAAAAGAGAATGAAAAATTATTTAAATTTAAACTTTAAAATTTTTATTAACATTCCGGCTGAACCCTATTTTAAAATAATATATATAAATGTTTTAAATTACATTCCTGCTGAACCCTAAATCCTATTTTAATCGCTAAAGTTTTTTAATATATTAAAATAATTTTTTTAATATTTAAATAAAATTATTATTTTAAAA